AGAGAGAGAAAGAGAGAGAGAGAGAGAGAGGGAGAGAGGGTACATTGCTCCGGACTCAAAGGACTTGAGATTTTATAGAGATTCCAGTTCCAACTGGATTTAAGTTTGGATCAGGATGAAGATCAGAACACAAATCCAAGTGATGACACTGGACCTCAAGAAGGCACTTTCCAGCCCTTGGGCACAATGGCTTTGCTGGAGAAGCCAAATTGCCCAACTCCTGTTACTCCCTGTGCCCTCCCAGCAGGGCGCACTTCAGCCCCAGCAGCTTCAACACAGAAATCCACCAAAAATTCCCAATTTTTCCTCCTGGGCTAAGCTTGCTTTGAGTTGCCAATCCCTGCAAAACACAGGTGTGATGGGGTGAGTATTGGCTTTGAGGACTGAGGTGGGTTGGGTTGAACCAGGACAGATATTACTGGCCAAGCAGAACTTCCTTCTGCTTGGGATAATTGCTGCTTTCTTGGAGTCAGGAATGGGTTTGAATCTGTGTTTTGACTGTGATGGATTCAGAACTTATTTTTTATGAACTGGAATGAATGTATTCAAGAAGATTTGTATATTAAACTATTCTATCTGAACACGGTGTGTTCTTTAACAACCATGAAACACAGGGTAAAGTGGGATTGGTTATAACATTTATATCATTGCCAAATTGCTAAAACTCCCGATTTGGCCCCAAAAGGTCATTCATAGGTATTCTCAAACCTGCCACATAAGCCAGGAAAGCTGAATTACATTTATAATGAAGATAGGCAAGATCTCACATCACTTTCTCCCCCCTTAAAATCCATTTCCTCCTGGTTTCCTTTGTGAGCACTCAAGAATTTCCAAGGATAGAGAGATTTGAAGCAAGTCTAGAGACTTGGTATTTCTGAATCACCTTTTTAAGAGTCAATGCCCCAAACAGAGCTGCTTTTCTCCTGCAGAAACTCTCCTTAATGCCTGAAAATTGCTCTCAGCACTCAGGCAGAGTGTGAGGGCTGTAACAAGACCCACCATCCACCTCCAGCACCAACTCCATATAGAAACTGAAGAAAAATATATGTGTTTGATAGAGAATTTATTCCTACCTGCAGCAGTTTGTGATTTGAAGCTTCCCTTGGCCTCAAACTCCCTAGGACAGGGAACAACCTTTCCTGCCATGGAGCACACGCTGTTACTCCAAGAGTAGGAGGTACAACCTCTCGTTCTGTTATACAAATGTGACATCTGCTGTTAAAATGCCTCCACTGCAAGAGGAAAAAAGCCCCGAAAGAGCCAAGAAATCAAAGTGTCTTTGCCAGGAGCCTGCAGGGCACAGCCCCAGGGACATCAGCAGTGCTTTTCCCTCTCTAGTCTCACCTTTTTCACCCAGTTGCCATAAAATCATGGAATATTCTGAGCTGGAAGAGAGACCCATAAGGAACATCAAGTCCAACTCCTGTCCCTCCACAGGACAGTCCCAAAAAATCCAACCATGTGCCTAACTGTTTGCTCTGGGTCCAGCTGGTCCCTCGTTCCCAGTTCAGAGTCCCTTGCAGGGTGTGATGGTCACCCAGCAGGGCAAGAAGCTCCTCTGCTGCCACCAGGGAGGGCACAGAAGGATTTGGGCACAGTGTGAGCTGACACTGGCTGAGTTTGCCTTTGCTGGGCAGGAGCTGTGACCCAGAGCCTCCTCTTGCTCCCAGCCCTAAAGCAAAGCACTTTACTGATGGTTTTGGGATGGGTTGTGTAGTGTGAGTGAGCTCTCCACTCCCTCATCAACCCTTGCTCCACAGGAAAACAAAAATGACTTTTTTTCCCCCCCCTGTTTCTTTTCAGTCTCTGAATTTTATAGAGTCACAGAAGCCTGGAATGATTTGGGTTGGAAGGGACTTTGAAGATCATCTCATCCCATCCCATGCCATGGGCAGGGACCCCTTCCACCACCCCAGGATGATCCAAGCCCCATCCAACCTGGCCTGGAACACTTCCAGGGATGGGGAATCCACAGCCTGTTCCAATTTCCCCCACTCTTTCATCTCTCTTTCCTCTCCCTCCATGCCTGTCTGAGGGATGATGCTACCAAGAGACCAAACCTTTTGCTCTTTACACCTTCAAACCAACCTTCACTGTCAACAATTTTAGGGATTTCTTGAAAACAAGACACACCTTAACTCATGCAAACAGCCCCAACTCCTTAGGAATTCCTCTCTGGCCCTCGGAATTGTCCTCTTAGCTGTGCAGATTCCACACTGACCATTAGAGGGCAATGGGACATGGAGAAGGAGCATCTGGTGCTGGCTGCTATCGCCTCCAAGCAATCCATCCTGCATTTACTGCATCCTCTGACCTTGGGCTATAGATTGAGGAGACATTAACGAGGCCACCGGCAGCGAGGGAGAGTGGGGAGGTTGGAGCACAGGCAGATTTTCAGACACAGAGGCACCAGCCAACTAATAAACAGGCTGAACTCAACCCTCCTAACATGACACCACAGACAGGACATGCTTTCAGCTCTGCACAGCAAGAGGCACTTTCTCATTGAGGCAGGTTTTACTGACCAGCAAACAAAAGGTTGTGCTGCCAGCCCTTCCCAGAATGAATTATAAATGTCACTCACAACGTGATATTAAGAATTATCTCTTCCCTGTGCCAGGAGATCTTTCCTAGCCTTGGAGAAATGCATAAATCATCACCCTCTTAACAAAGGAGGGAGTAAAAGGCTTCAGGCTCGAGCCACTGATGTGCAAATCAGTGGAAAGTCAGGGAAATATTGACATTTTCCCAGCTGAAAGTCCCTGAGAACTTAGATCTTACTGGTTTTCTACCAAACTGGACTTAATGGTTCACCAAACTGCACTTAATGGTTCTCCAGTGCCTTCAAAAAAGTGTTTTTCCCCATGAAAACCTTTGCCACTGGCTGATAAATCAGTAATTGTAGATTGATGGAATATCCTGAGCTGGAAAAGACCCACAAGGATTATCAAGTTCAGCTCTTGGCCCTGCAAAGGATCAACCCCAAGAATCACATGAACCTCAACCATCACCACTTTGTGTTATTCAGCACTGGCTGAGAAATGCCAGAAATCATCAGTTTATAGTGCTAACTGTAGGAATATTGCTGGATGCTCCTCAACCCCCTCTGAGGAAACAGGAGGCCCTGGGGAGGGAGCAGGGTGCAGGGATTGATCCTACATCACTCCAAATCCATCCTCAGAACAGAGATCATCAGGCTGTTACTGCCATTAGATCCATAAATAATTCCACCAAAGGCCTCAGTCTTTACAAGGTCTCAAGGAAAAAAAATGTAGAGGCTGAAATATTGATGGATGTGTCTGCAAGAGCTATTAGGAAAGGCAAAGTGGTTTCCATGGGATTGGTCTAAGCCACAGCACCAGGATGAGGGGGGAACTGTG